ATTTGGTCCTACGTAAACGGTGGTTATACGGGTTTTATGGGTGGAGAATTAGGATAGGCGGTGAAATATACTTTAATGACTGCTATATGCATCTCTATTTTATTGTATTTAGAAATGTTAATTTGCATCTGTAGATTTTCGTAATCCGTATTGTCGTTTAACGTATTGCGAAAAAACCCGATTATTAAAGTTCAGCTTTCGTGAAATTCCCGAAAAAATAGGAATGGTTAGGAGTTCGTCTACTTCAAATTATCCGAGGTCCAACTTATCGTCCTGGAGTTAGATTAGTATAGTCCGCGGCGCGAAACGCCGCGCAAACCTTCGATTTACATGCGCAACAACTTACTCCCAGCGGCCGCGGACAACAAATTCAAATACATTTTCCACTTTACACTTATACACGTTTCCTTCACTGCCTATCGTATTTCCCCGCTCTCAAAACTACTATAACAACCGTTTCCGTAAGATAAAATGCTGGGACTAGGAGTATATGAGATGCACTACTTAAACTACCTTTGCCAGAGGAGGTTCTGGTAACCAATCTTCTAAGTCATACAGTTAACTGGATTTACTAAAAATCTTTTTCGTTTCATACACCGTTATCTCGAAATATTGGAACCCACTCCAACATATTTTGCGTTTTTCTTCCTTTCTGTTATCTCATAGCCCTTGAGCGGCAAAATTAAGTGCTTCTTTAACTTATGCATCCAGAAATTAGACCCTTTACCGATTGTGATGAGTGCGGCGTGACTAAAAAATAGATGCCAATTATTTTTGGACAGTTTGTAATTGCATTCTTATTCCAGAGTTTAGGTAGGATGCCCTTCACGTAGTTAGACTTTGTCTGGTAAACCTTACCTATGCCGGTTATTTTGAAATAATGCTTCAGATGCCTGCATTGCCTTAAAATCATGTTCTAACTTGTAGGTTTTGGAAACAGCCTTCACCTGTTCCAAGGCCTGGAATTATGTACAAAATGTCTATCCAAAATCACATAACTGAGAGCCTACCAGAAACTTCTGCATATCAAGCTAAGGACAGGCACGTTACTGAAACGGCCTTGTTTAAACCAAAAGTGGATTTTTCTGTAGTAAATTGTGTATCTGACGCACCAGATACTCCCACTGTTCACAATGGAAACCCAAACGTCCACACTTCAATCCTTCTGGAACCTAGTGAGTACTTCTTTGATGACGAATTTTCCGTGCCGTTCGATGCCAACCTGAGGGACGATGTTGGTAGCACCCACCGTGGACTTACAGAAGAAAGTGATGAAGGAATCTCATCATCTGGAGCGACCCACCGCGGTGCCTGTCTTGCTGCTGTCGGGCACTCACGGTCCGATTCTTGTCTCTTTAATCCAGTCGACTCTGGTGACAGCGGCCAGAGTGGACTGGGTCCTAACACCAATGATCCCCGCATAGAATCGCCTGCAGACAAACTATACCCCAAACCTAGTTCTACCGCATATTCCGGGAACAAAATATGTCGACCAGATAGCACGAGTGCTCCATCTTCGAGCAGGCATCATGCTATATCTGCGGACCTGTCTGCGATCCTCTCAGATACCGGAGAAGCTGACGAGCAGCCTGAAAATCCCCTCAGCGGTCGTGCATTCGTTTTCAGCCCCCCAAATCCAATGTTTATTCCCGATCCATCTTCAGTTACTAGTAGTTGGATGCAGGCAGTTATGGAGGGTTCTTGTAATCACGAGTTAAAAGAATTGCTGAAACGTACCGCCGAAGCACTGAACTATAAGCTGGCATGGGACGATGCTCAGGGGGCGCTAGCTGATGGAAATGACCAAAACAATCCACCTTCCACTTCCTGCCTGCAGAGGTCTACGAGTCAAGGTAACATCTGGA